GGGGATTATATACAAGGTAAAACTACTAAATATTATTATATAAACAAAAGAGGTCTAAAGCCACAGAGCAGCTGCTCATAAGTGAGAAGAACAGCGTAACACAAAAACAAGCACAGTCTTTGCTCACTGGAACAAACCAGAGAATACTTCCCTCCAATAATTCAGGGACAGCTTAGTTAGTAAATGTTATTGCTGCCATACCAACAGCCAAAAAAGATCCCCAGCACACCAGCGCGGGCCGCTGTGACTCCACGCCCCGTTACCATTTGATGTCCAGGATGGCGGCAGTGCTCCTCGGGCTGCGCCGCTGCCCGGCCTGGGAGAGGAGCCCGGTGGCGCGGGCAGGGCTCGTTGGCACAAGCAGCTCGGGGACGTGCTGGGCTTCGTCCGTAACCGCCCTCGGATGGGGCTTCTGCAATTAACTTCTCTCTTTCCTGCACCCGCCGCATCCAGCGGACAGGGGTCTGCAGCTCCTACACGTGGTAGGTGAAGAACTGCTGCTCATCACAGAGAAAGTCAGCATCGGTACTCCCCTGGCGTCCTCCCTCAAAGACCCTCCTCATACCCGTCACTCATCTCTCCCAGGGCGGAGATGCACCCGGTGTAGCTGTGCTTTTGAAGCTCTTCTGGACCACGGAGGGATCATGTTCCTGAGCCCTCCCCAGGACAGAGGGTGAGAAGGGCACTCGGGAGGGAGTTCACAGCCAGTTCACGCCCTGGTGCTGGTCTCTGCCCTCACGTCCTTTCCCTGACTCTGCTTTGCTGCTGTCCCCCAAGCAGAAATTTCTGCAGGACTGTGTTTCACAACCCAAAGGTCTCATTGCTGTGTGAAAACAGCCAGCTAAGGGCTCATCTTCTGGTGTTTTCCCATAAGCAACAATACATTAATTGACACCAAATTTCATCTACCAGCCTGTCTCGTAAGATCCTTCTGCAATTCTTCACTCATCCTTTATTATACTATTACACTGAATAACCTCATCAGTTGGATGTTGTCACCTTCCTGATTCATCACTTTTTCCCAATTATTTTTTAATATATTAGGCATCCAACTTGACTTCTCTCCACCAAAAAAAACCACCTCCCTTTAACTCTTTTTACCCGTCTTTTAAAGTTGTTTGTCTGTGTGATATTCCTCCTTTTCTCATTGTAGTTGTAGTTGCCACTTCTGCCCTGAAACGCATTTCAGAAGCTGCTGTCACAATTGCTGTGGGTACTGAGGGAGAAATCACCATTCCAGCTGGTAGCTCAGCTTATTCAACCTTGAGCTCCCTTAGAGCCTGTAGGTGGCACCGGCTGGTCCTGGCAACTTGTAACTGCTCATTTCATCTGAACTTAAAGTGAACTTAAAGCACTCAGTTTTAAACAGATCCCGGGTTGAGCTCTCCATATGGAAGTATTTCTGTGTGAACTCCCACAGCTCTTTCAGAGCAAACACATATGCAAACAATCCACTTTATTTTTTTTTTCTACTGGGACTTTATCTTCAGGTCAGACTTTCCCTTTACTGTGCATCACACCTATTGTATCCGGCAGTCTCCCCACCTCTGCTTTCTTAAAATTATTTGTGCAAGTTTTATGACTTGAACATTTGGTTTCGTTTGTTGGGGTTTTTTTTTCCTCTCACATTTCACCTGCCAAATCTTACTCTTTCTCTCTTCTACACTTGGACGCAAGTTCAAATCAAAGGATTTCTTCTTACACTACGAGCATCCCACACACTGCTTGTTTGATCACAACAATCTCCTTTTGTCCTCTTTCAATTATTTTGATGGGTGGTAAACATGAGCTCCTAGCCCCAATGTGGTGTCTTACACTCTCTCCATGTCACCTGCAAGCATTTAAGCCTTTTAGCTGCCCCTTTTACCTTCACCAGTTTTACTTAAAATCACTACCACAGAGAAAAACTTGGAAGTATAATCCTATGGGTGTATCAAATACTCAAATACCAAAAGGTAAAACTGAGCCCTGTAATACATTATGTTTCAGGTCTTGTTCCTTAAGTCAGCCATGGTTTTTATCCGTTTGAATTGACTTTTGAATGTTTGGGATTGGTAATACCACCCTACTTCGATGTGAAGGAGAGCAGCAGGGGGAAAGTATCAACACTTGATGCTATGTTTACACAGTGAGTGCACCCCTCTGTTACAACCAGCATCGGTAACACTGCAGGTTCCTGACGAGATGGATTTGCCACTTCACAACTGCAGAAATCTTCCTCCAGACTCTCCCCAAGGGTCTGAAAGCACGTGGGGTCCTCCTGGAACTGGCTTACACCAGACAGATGTTCACACACTCCTGGTGACTCAGGATGAACCAGTGTGACCCACCAGCAGGAATTCTTTTAGGCCTAGACATCCCCACCAGCTGCACAAGATGCCACGTGCATTCACAAGGACATGGCAGCACAGGCAGTGGCAAAGCCAAGCCAGAAGGACTGCACTGGCCCAAACAGCCAAATTCTGTCTCCCAAAAGCACATGGACCAGCACTGAGGAGCCTGCCAGGCATCACAGCTTAGCGATAGTTGGCTGTACAACAGGCTGTGGAGGTGCACAATACCGCTCATTCTCTCTCCCCATACTCTTCATAGCCCAGCAACTGACGTTTTTCCCCTGAAGTCCTCTGGAACTCCTCTTCCAAACAGATGTTCCTATCTAGGAAACCTGACTCATTAAACCTTATTTTGGTCCACAGGTGAATCAGGGGTGTGTACAGAGAGTACTCCATGCTTCAGAGATGCAAGGAATTAAAGGTACAGATGCAGGCTTTTTTCCCTGGAGGAAATATCTTAAATGGAGAGTATCTCAAAAAGTCAGCTTATTTACCAGTACTGCAAAGGCCTGCTCCAAGATAAAGGACCATGTACTCTAACCCTGTGCTTTTAAATATATGTCTATATGAGAATATCCATCTCAAGCTGGTTTCTTTAAGTGGGGAAAGGAGGCCCTATACAAGAGCTTCATCCTCTGAAAAAACATATAGGCTATATGAAGCAGAGCAGCGTTGTTTCAGTGTAACTGTTTTTTTCCGACACCTTAGAAAAAGAGAAGATCTTTAAGTCAAAAAGATCTTCTGCCAGAACCATTGATCATAACTTCCCACACCAATCAGGAAAAACTGTTCTTCAGGCAGTGACATGCTTACTGAAGTCCCAAGGACCTATCTAGGAGACGTAATTGCTGCAGCTACTTCTCTCCTCTGGCACAAGGACAGTCTGGAGTCAAAGGTTACACACTGAGTCAGAACCTGTTAATTCACCAAGCCCTTTTAGGATGTCCAGGCAACTTGTTTCTTTTCATTCTGTTGATGGTCTAACAGACCAGCGGGCATCCTCCCACCCCACCTGCTTCACCCTCTCCTCCCGTCCCTGTCCCCATCCCTCCCACATTCACTGGATCAGGATTGTCCTAAGTGGCACTATCTTACTTTTGCAGACTCTTTAGCTCGAGTCTCACCCCTCCTTCATTCCCTTCCTCTGCTGTTCAAGAGGAATCCACCTGTTGCCCATTGATAACTTTGTCTGCAGTCTACCTCCGTCCTCTTTTCTCATTGCAGCAACATCACAAACATCGGGACTAACCATTTTCCCTGCTCAGTGCTGCAGAAGTGTTTAAATGCTCTAAGACTGCACCTCAGTTTGCTAAACATGGTTAATGGTAATACAATGGGAAATTGCCATGAGAAATAGAAGCCTTTTAAAAAGGCAAGAAAAAAAGAGTCAATATTTCTGCTCTTTTCAATGGATCACCTCAAATTAAAAAAAAAATAAAAAATCTTCCTTATGTTCCATTTTATATTCATCAAAAACTGCACAGTTCATTTAAAGCAAATAATTGAATGTTTCCTTAAAAAAAATATCACCCATTACAGGAAAATCTGATTAGGTCCTGCTTGATTTCTTGATACTTAAGGGCATCTTAGACTGCCTAAACAGAAAAGTTACAGTATAACCACGATTTAAGAGTTGCAGCTTGACAATGTGACTACCGAGTGAACTTCCAGCAGGAAGCTTCAGTTCTTTGATATCTCCTAAGATGCTTAAAGCCAAAGTACGAAAACCCACCCAAAATACTAATAATTAAGAACTTCCTGTGCAGATATTAGAAACATAATATAATATTGGAAGTCCACAGCAGTTCAATTTTCTAGCAAATTGAATACAAGTAAGACCAACATTGCAACATGAAGTGGCAAAGTGAATCCTGATTGAAAAATTAAAATAAACGGCTTTTACAAAAAAATTTTAAACACCTATATTTCACTAAGCACTCCAAGAAAGGCTCTGCATTAAGCATTCAGCAGCTCATTCTTCTAGTGTGAAGCAAGACTAACACCTGACACTAAATTATCCATTTAGTTCCTCAGAAAACTCAGTTGATATTCCTTATATTTCTAAGGCAAAAATGAAAAAACTTTCAGCTTATGCATGACAAAATGTCTTAAAAGAAAAACAAGCGTGTACTTGGCAAGTCAAATCCTCCTCCCATATTATTTTTACTCATTACTACATTAAAAAAATCAAAAGGTGATTCTTGGATTGATGGCATCTCTTTAAAAAAATGAATAAATAACTCAAATTACCAAATATTAGATCATTTAAACATATCTGCACATCACTATAGTATTTGCTATGCTTACGGGGAAGCCACGAGGGCAACCACATCCACACACAGCTGACTACCTGAGCTTCCCTACAACTACTTTATATACAAAGGTTTCATAACAAGAAAGCTAATTCAGCTTCCTAAAAATACTGGTTGCTTAAAGCACAATCTCCAGCAGCCGTTCTCTGAAGGCAGCGACATGCTGTAGCTTGCCTGTATGCACAGATCCCAGATGGTTCCCTACACTGTGCTCCAGTTTCTGGTGCACTGGTTTCTACTGAGTGGGTATTGCCAACGTCCAAGTGTGACTGTGCTCTGAAAGCAGCTGGAAGGGAACGGGAGAAAGCTAGAGAGTAGACAATGATTCATTCCAACCTTTACTTTGTTTGCCCCCTTTTTTTTTTTTTTTTTTAAATAAAACTTCCATGCAGAGTTCTCCAGAGTACCTGCTGATGTCCGAGCCTGCCTTCTGGCCTTGGCACTGGCACAGATACTTCTAGCCACATGGAAGGAAAAGCTTTTGCTACATGACTTTTTTTTTTAAGCTTTTAGGCCAACAGTGTGTCCTCATCTGAACATTAACAGTTAATGAGTCCTATCAAGAATTTCTAACAAAAACTGTACATGAGTTTACAAACGTATTAACATATAAATAATGAGAAGCTTCCTGCCTGGAGCCTCCACAGTAGTCTTTTTGCTTGAGAATATAATACTGGAAGGGTAGACCCAATCCCTTTCCACAGCACCAGTCAGAGCTGGCTTAGTCCAGTCAGCCGTTCTGCTCAAGCATCACAGGGTTTTTTCTTCTTCAGTGCCTCCGGCTTCAATAAGCAGTCTGTCATTACTGTGCAAAACCAAGAGTCCAATGCCTTTGAGAAGGAATCCTGCTGCTAAGAGGCCTGTGCCACCCGGTCATCGCTCTGGTCCAAGCTCTTGCTGGAAGGTCCGTTTCTTCTCCCGACAGTGTTTCTTGTGAGCAGGCCAATCTTTCTGCTGGCATTGTGACCCACAGTACCTCGCTACCTGGCATCGGCCACAGATGTTGAATTCACGTAACTAGGAGGAACACAAGACAGCATTAGCGAGCCTGCTCAGTGCCAAGGAGCACCCTTACATCACTTCCCAAGTAGGTTTATGTTCAGGCCTTCTGGGCCTAGCACAAATATGAACATCCCACCATGAGTGTCAGAGTATCAAAAGGTTTCCAAGAGACTGCATTTGTTTGATTTTGCAGTTGCTCTTGCAGAATGGGCTTAAGAGACAAAATATTTGAGTGTTTCATATTTGTTCTCACAACGCTACTGTTTGGTCAACTTAAGTTCTGTTTTCAACTACAAACATCTTAAATTCAGAAATGATTAGGAGGGCTGCACAAGCTCAGCCATTGCCAAAGTTGCAGGTATCCAGGAAGCTTTCATATGCAGACCCAAATAAAAGGTAAAGCTCTCACTTTTTCAAAAAGAGAGCATTTAAGACAGTTTTTGCAAACGTTCCCTTCCCCAAAGAAAAGTGGAACACAATGATTTTAGCCTTCTCAGCATTCGTTATCACAAGAAAAGCCCTTCTTATTCACAGATGAGGACATCTGTCTGACAAAGAGGCACAGCCCTGGCACATCTCATTCTCTGACTACGTATGTTGCTTCATTTCATCTACCTACAGCGAAGAATGAGCTTTCCTCCCAGTTCTCCCCTGAAAAAAGGCCAAATTCACCCTATTCTCATCAAAGGTTAAGCATGTTATTTTTTGATTTCACTACTGCCCAAAACATCTTACAATGCTTTCTCCTGTCTCATACAGCTGCTTGCTCATTCCAGCTCTGGGTCCCTAGAGGAATGCTTCCACCTGGATTTTCATACACTCTGCAGAAATCACACTCCTCCCAGTAAATCACTAGGTCATTTACTGTTCCAATTCAAAACTGCATTCTCTCAAACAGAAAATTATCATAGGGCCTGAAGATTCATGCCACAGAAAACCCGGGTTAAAAAGAATTATCACTTTTAGCAACTGAATGGCATGTGTAAAGCTTTACGTTTTAAGACACAAATCCCTGGAGACACACGGTGGCCTAATTCATCACATGCTTACTTTCAGTTCTTTTGAACACACCTGTTTTTCAATCATTGTGCATGGGGGGTAGTGACATTCATAATATGTGCATGAGTTCTCCTCCTCCTCCACAACATCCCCGTTAGCATTGTAGTATCGTGTTACATTCAGTACAGGAAACTGCTCTTCTATAGGATCTGTAGGAAGCTGTTGGATTGCCAGCCAGTACAGACTTTGTTCCCTGTAAAAAACAAGTGCAAATTTGGTCCATAAATTCGTAGTAAGTGTACAGGGAAATTAAGTAAGTAGAATTAACACTGTATTTGGCCTGTAAACTTAAAGACTACACATACTCCTCAAACACTGCATATTTTTAGGGTTATTTTGGCCTAAATGAAAAAAAAAGTTTAAAAGTATCTACCAAGAAACACTGACATCACACAAAATTATTTTGGTGTAAATGACAAAGTTGAGCATCATTGTCATTCAGTACATCTCAATCAGCTTAACAAGCTCTGAACATCCCTATCTTATGGGTGCTGCAAGTGTTTCAAAAGAAGTGTCTAGTGTGATGTTCAGTCTATGGATCTCCACCAAAAATGAACATGCCCACATTACATCACAGATTAACCAAATCCATCCTGACATTAAGAGTTTGATGTACTTTGATTAGCATTAGTGCAACATGGCAGGTAGAAAGTTCCCACAACCTACTAGTGGAAAGGTGATGGAAGCTGATCCCAGGAACTCATTCTGGTTTCAACCCAAATACACGATTATCAGTGTAATCAGTTTGCAGCTGCCAGCTTTTAGAGGTTGTGTTAGAATTTCGGTGCCTGACAGCGAGAGCCACAAGCCAGTAGAATCTGCAGGCTTAGTTCAGCGTGCCCAGATGCCATCATTCAAGTGGAAGGGGATTGCAGGGCTCCTGTTTCACTGTGGTGACAACACCTGGCCCAGCAGGACCTCCACGTACGTCGTGGGGTTAGATGGTCCCCTCACAGCCAGCACGAACGGTAAGCATTAACTCCGTTCACAAGGTGAGGAAGCCAAGACATACAGTGATGTGTAAGTAACCCAAGGTCAAATAAAAAAAGGCTCTGCCAATAGGAAAATCACTAAAGGACGGAGACAATTTTTTTTTTTTTTTTTTTTTTTAATAGCAACTCCCTGCCAGATATGGACGTACCTTTGTTTACTGGAGATTTCTTCAGCTTTGGGTTTCCACCCCCAAGGAACGAGGCGCAGATTGTCTAGGCGGTTGTCCACTGTCACTGAATTCAGATGTACCACCTGAAATCCAGGAGCAATCCCTCCCCGATGTCTCTCCCTGGAGGAGACAAAAACAACTGGAAGGTCAGTGATGAACAAGACTCCACAGCTAAAAAGCAAATAACCACACTAATTCCAGAAGATATGCTGCATTCGAGCCTGCTGTCACTGAAACAGTCGCAAAAGAACTTGAGCTGCCAACAGACCACAGTGGTGACTTCAGATATACTAACTCCCAGAAGAGACAGACTTGTTCCAGGAGGTTATTTCCATTATAAATGAGTTGAATCAAAAGACATAATTGCAAGCATATAGCAAAGAAAATTCCAGGGACTGCTACTCCAGTTACTACAAGAGCATCTACATAATTATTGTGTTCCACAGAACAGACTTGAAACATTCCAATACTGTTTTATTATTTTAACAGGAAATTCTATCAGACACATTTATGCAAGTTTGGCGCTGGTATGAAGTCAGAGAGTTTGGTATTTATGAAGAAATGTCTCTTAACCAACAGAACAGGAGCTTCACCAAGTATGCAAATACTCTTTAGACTCTAATTGCATGTTAACACATAAAAAGTCTGCAATGACTCCACAGTTGACCAAGAGACACCTGCAACTTACTCAAAACCAAAGCAGAACTACTGGCAAGGAGGATGGCTGCACAGTAAGTTCTACTGCCAGTCTTCCCTATTGCCTGTTTTCATTTTCCACTCCACATTCTTCTAATCTCTCCTTTATTTCATGAAGTTTCAAGTTCACTGTCAAGCACTGTTATGCCTGGACAAGTTTCCATATCACTTCTTGCAGGAATCCACATCCCACCTGAAATGTAAGGCTGGGACAAAAGTTGTGTCTCGGTATGTTTGCTATGCTGTGACTAATTTCACAGCACACAGAGAACAGACTGGCAGCAACCAAGGACAATGTAAAACTGAGAGCACTGTTTGAGGGTTACCCAGCATTTTCTTCTAGGGGACGGTTCCAGCAGCTACTTACACAAGTCTAGTTTGGATGCTGCTTCCTGCTCAACATTCCCTGAACATTTCAGTTCAAATGGCTCACCCAATTTTGAAGGTATGATTTGCCCAAGTTAAAAAATTCAAACTTTTGCCCTTTACAAAGTTCTAACATTATCCAGCAGAAGTGGGAAATTCATTTCAATATGACTGACAGTGAAAAATGTCATCTTTTGTTTTGTCAAAATCTATCCAGGTATATAGATAGATTATATACCTTGGGGGAAAGAAAAACACTTGCAATTCACATATGCCTCAAAACTTACACAACCCATGCTCTAGTCAGAAGGCAGAGCAAGTCTTCCTGTAGCAGCAGCCCTGCATGAGAAAAGAGTGTGGAGTGTCCTGCTAGGGGGTCTCCACAGAACAAGAAGCAGCTCTACCCTTTGAAGGTTAAAGGAATAAAATCCTTCTTTTGAAAAAAAACAAACAAACAAACAAACCACACAAAACCAAACAAACTATGGAAAGGAGTCTGCTGAAAGGCTCTAAAAAAGAAAAGCTACTTTTGAGTTGTCAAAGCTACCAGAGGGTCTTGGCAAAGGAAATCAGGAACCCTGAGGGGTAGAAGTGGGAACCCAGGAGGTACATGGACCTGAATGAAGGTGAACATCAGTCAGATACAGACACGGGGAAGGAGTCAAGGTTCTCTGAGACCAGGACCAAGTGTCAACAAGAGAGATGGGATAAATATGAACAAGGAATCTGGGAGGAGGAAACAGAAGTTCAAAGCAAGAGCAAACTGTGCAGGGACAGGGGGAGAAAGGGAGCAGGGGAATCAAAGACCAAGTTAATAAATATTTTTGAAATGGATTAGATAAGTTTAAGAAAGGTTGAAGTTGGGGAAGAATTACAAGACTGCTCATGACACCAGGAAGTCACAACAGAGTAGCACCTACTACTGCTCCTTACTAAGTCTAGATCAGCACCCACAACCCCCCACAAGCAAATATTGATAAAATTCACTAGCACAGCGAGACCATTTAGCTCACTTTGTAAAAATGCATATTTATCTACATTGCTGTCAGTTATTCTAGTACCTCAAGTGACAAAGGTCTTACAGTAAGCGTGGAAATGGCCTCGCTGATGACTGGTCAAAGTGCTAAAACACCACCACTTGACTGAGAGGCCAGAATTAGCACTGGCAAATTCAGGATGGTCCCTTTTCTCCATACAGTCAAGGAACCTCTGAACACACAAGCACACACTACTCCCTTCCCTAGACCTATGCTTCAAAAGTGTGCGGCATGGACCATCTCCACATGTTAATCAGAAATGTGCAGTGAAGGACAAGCTCACACAAGAACCTGCCTTCTCCCTTGCAGAAGGGAACAGAGAAGAGCGAGCCTCGCTTCTACCTCCCCCACCAAACCAGAGTTCCTACAAGATGTCAGGCAAAACACTTGAACCAAAACTTTTCAGAGAATTAACTGGATACTGTTCCTTTTGTATTTCAAAAGCTCACTTGAGAAGTGAGGCCTGTAATAAAAGTGCCAAGCACAGACAACAGCAATTCAAGTCAACAGGAGCCATAACTGAGCAGATTATAGGCAGCATGATGGTAAATGCTCTAAAAAAAAAAATTAAAAAAAAATAAAAAAATCGGGTCTTAGATGTCTTTTTGAACATGCAGCTAGTGATACTTATGAGTAATCTCCTGATGCTGCTGTTCCTCAGGGAACATCACTACACCCAGCCAAATTACAGCAAGCTGGGATTTCTATACAGGGAACAGGGCGAGAAGATGACAGACTTATTCTGCAGGTCCCGAGCCAGAGACATTCAACTCCTGCTTTGGAGGAGGTAACAGTCCACCCTGAAAACACAGCAAGCACAAGAGGGGCTGCAAGAAGTTTTTCCTGAAAGAATATTTACACCTAACACGAATATTTTTCAAATCTTGGTTCCCATTTAGTACATCAGTTCACACTCTGCAGAGGTCGGCAGGAGAAGCTCCCTGTCATTGGCTGCAGCTTTGGTCATTACCAGCTTCCTATTTTGAGGGCCGTACCACATGAACAATGATACCTGCTTAGCAAAATTTAAAAATAAAGATTAAAACATTTAACACTGCTTTACTTGCAATAGCATCCAACACATGCCTAATCACTTCATCTGAAACCAGAAATGCACAATCAGGTTAGCTTTTTCAGAGGGAGTTGATATTTAGGGCATGTTCCGTTAAATTATATTCCTGTACCTGCAGGATTTCAAGTTCTTTGTTTTTAATTTACCCAGGAAGTAAGGCACGCACTGGAAAGAATAATGACTGCTACTGCCATCTCCCCTGTCTTTCAAAGGCTCCAAAACCTTCAGTGTTACTCCCTCCTGCAAAGGGAAGACCCTGCCACTAAAATAGATTTCCATTTTTTTTCAGAGCAGTCCCCAGTGCAGGCAAGCAAAACTGAGCCATGTGCCTATCCTGTTTAGGAGGAGCCGTAACTACATAGGACCTGTAGCCAAAAGACTTTCTGAAGACATTAGGAGACTCAGTCACAAAAGTATACTAACCTGCCTTCTGTTAGCTTGTAATTAAAGATCACAGCAAAATGTACACCCTTGAAAGGATCAAGCTGAATTTACAGAAACAGCCGAAATATTTTGTATTTTCTAGCTGAAGAATTGGCTTTGCAACTTCAGGACGGCAGCTCTCCTTGTCTGACAGTTTACAAGCTGCCTTCGTGACTTTCCAACACACAAAATCTCAAGATTTCTTTAACACCAGTGCACACTAGAGTGACACAATTTGAATCGCCTAACTGAATATGATAGAATTATGTCCTAATTTAAGTAAAACAAACAAGAAGAGGCAATGACTGGGCTGTGTAATAAGCAAACAGCTGGACGATCATCATCTACACAGCCTTCAACAGTCAGCTGGAATAATTTTCAGGTGCTGTTTAGTGCTACTTACAGGCAACAATTATTACTGTACGAGGTTCACAGTTAGCAGTAGCTGACAGTGATTTACTCCACACACTGCAGCCAACTTCCTATTAATTTTCAAAGTTGTATTGCAACAAGATTAAACATTAACAGATGAAGGTTTAAATCTATATTTAATGAGCAGATTGTAAGTAATAACAATAGTCTCTGATATTCTTTCTGCCTCCCTCTCCTCATGTAGAGACCGGTTTGGGGAATAAAAAGTAACCTGGAACAATAAATAAAGCACATCTGTATTTTGGACACTGTGACTTCCAAGTACAGCTTATGGAACTGAATAGAAAACACGTTTAATTTCTAAAAAAAAAGTATTTTAAAATTGTCAGTGCTAGGTTAATGGTTGGACTAGATGATCTTCAAGGTCTTTTCCAACCTAGTTGATTCTGTGAACAACGGTTCTCTTTAGCATACCCCATCTTTTCTACAAAACCATGAACATACCTAGAAAGCAATGGATTAGCTCACTGGATAAACTAATCTCTCACAAGCAAGTTGGCCTCTGAATCTAAACTGGCAGCTGTAAAGGCTATCAAGCAAAGATTCTTAGAATATGGAAAATAAGATGTAGCAGCTGATATGAAGCATCATCAGCACCACTTCAGGCAGCTTTCCAAAAGGCCAAACAAAACCCCCACAGTTTTATGTTATCAGAGGTTCTATCTCTCTCCAGTGCTCTGCCAGTTCTCACTGGTGCCAGTAAAATGTACCTGATTATCATGGGACAAAAACAAAAAAAACAAGCCTCAAAAGGTTAGTCTTCACCTAACAAATGAAGCCAGTCCTTGCTCCCCCATTCCCAACTGAGCTTTTGGTAGCATTTCTTAAATTTAAAGTGTGTACTAGAGAAATACTCACCTATCGCTGTTTTCCCTGGGAATAACGTTTTTACAGAGGCTGAGCTACTTGGAGGCTCAGTGCAAATCAAAACCACTGTAAGATCTACAGGCACTCCCCATACTGGGTTTCCAACTAAGCATAGCTGCAAGCCTCCTGAGAAGACTTAAAATACTACAGGCAGAGAAGTAAACAACATACAAGTTGGTGGCAGCAAAACTCCACCTTAGTGAACCCTTAAAGTATTTCACTCTGCATATGATACCTACCAAAGCAGCTCATGCAGGAGTCGGCCGGATCCCCTTCCACGATTTTTGTCAAATGCATAAGCAAATATTTTAGCACCATTTCCATCAGCATCTACCTCCATTCGAGCCTAGAGAAAAGGGAAAGGCTGTGAGAACATCCAACACGGAGCAGCAGAGCACATGCTCCACTAGGATACAGGAAGGACCCAATATTTAAGACTTGTCTCGTAGAGGTCACTTGACCTTAATGAAATTTGAGTTGTTTCAAACCTCCAAGAGGAACCAACCAGCTCTGCTATTGTTTATGAAGATGGGAAAGGGAAGAAAGGAGCCTGTGCACAGCAGGAGTCCTGCCTGAACAGCAACCAGCCTGCAGGGCCAGGATCCATTCTCCACTCTGGTGCAGATTTTCCGTGCAGCCATCAGCAAGTTACCAAGACTTTGTTTTCAGTGCTGCTTTTACACCAATTTAATTAGGGGTTGATAGTGAAAGGAGCGCTGCTGCCCTCTCTTCTCCACGCCACAAGATTGTGTTGGCTTCAATGCTCATAGCCAGTACCAGGGACAAGATCAGGACAGGTGCTCCCAGTCCACACTTAGGGCCAGCTACCACAGAGCAGCAACGGGCAAACACGGTGTTTTTTTCTGGTGGCACCACTGCCACAGAACTGCAACTCCTCAGAGCAGCTCTAAAGTACCCACCGTGCTGCAGGCACTGAGCAAGAGATGGTCCCTCCTCCAAAAATCCCTTTGTTTTAGAAGATTCTTGTAATCAAGAATTCTTTCCCTTTCAAAATCTTCAGCAGAATCCACTTACCCTCTTTCAGTGCACGTTAAGAGACAACATTTTTTTCTGGTCCTATAGTTAGTTACAATAAAAGTAGTTTTTCTCATCCAAGACTATGTGCAGAGTGAAAATTTTTAGTTTGCCAAATGAGGTAAAGCAAGACAAGTTATAAGTTCTCAAAAACACAGAAAGCTGAAAACAACAAAACTACATAATAAGTGAATTCGTTTCAAACTAATTCTAGTTTACAATGAAAACCCAGAACTTTTCCTGCTGGAAATCATTCACATTGGTATTTCGATAATTTCAAACTTTTCTTTCCCTCCCCAAAGCAGGGCAGTTAGGGGGCAGAACGCTTCCATAAGCAGTTTTATTTAAGCATGTCACACAGAAAGGAAAAAAAAAACAAAACAAACCTTCAGCAAGAGACAGCAATTACCTCCACCCCCAGGATCGCCGCAAACCGGCCCCACCGCAAAGCCCCCGCAGGCACCCCCGGCCCGAGGCGACGGCAAAAGAGCCCCAGTGCCCGCGTGAGGCAGCGGGGGGGGAAGCGCGGGGGGTAGCGGCCGGTTCGCGGGGTACAGCGGAACGGGATTTGGTATCGCGCGTGAGGAAATCGGCAAAATAAAGCAACCAAAGCACGGGCGGGACGGGGCCACCGAGAAGCAGCATCGGGGCGGGGGAGAACCGGGGAGGGGGGGGG